CAGGTGTGTTTGGAACTTTTAACTTTCAGGAACTCACGGCTGAATTTAGCAAGGAGGTTTGGGTGACACCGTGAAAGCAAAGCCAGAGCCTGGTTGGTAGGTGGAAGAATAAATCTTGTGTAAACGGGGTGAGTGCTGCATGGGGCTGTGACTGGAAAAAAAAAGCAGAGCTGGCATTGGAGCTGGGAGCAGGGGCATCATGAAGGAACCTGGCTCTCCCTTGCCCTTTCCCTCCACTCAGGGAGGCACAGTTTTTTTACTACTTTGTCCAGCTTCCCTGGTCTGTCACAGGGGACTGTTCTGTAAATATTGCTTCCTGCCAAGTGAAAAGAAACACATTTTGAAGTCCTGATTTTTGAAATTTTATTGAACAATTTTTCAGCTTTAGAGGAATGAAAACATTCGATGTTCTGAATATTAAGCTGCCTTCTTGACATTTGTTTATGAAGATGGTTGCTACAATTTGGGTGGGGCATACACACTTTACCCTTACCGAGGGAGTTTGTTTTGAAGTTCTCTCTTCTTTCAGCTACTCTTCTAAATCTGGACTTTGGAATTTAATCTTAAAACACATATTTCTTGAATCACAGATTTCTATGTGGCTGGGTGCTAAGCCTGGCATGTGACCTGCTATTGTAAAACAGGTTTTCTGTGTGAGAGAGTACATATGGGGTGCTTCCCCCCACCCCCCGGGTTTTTCACATGTGGAAAATAAGGGTTTGTGCTTAATTCTTTCCTTAGAGATTAATGATGGAGTATCTCATTACCTACACAGCAATGCATCCTGGTTATTTTAAAAAATTTTATATTGGAGTATAGTTGATTTATAATGCTGTGTATACTCATACATATATATACTGTTTTTGCATCCTGGTTATTGATATGAGGTCAATAGACGGGTCTTTATTGTCACTCTAGAGGAATTAATCACTTACCAGTAAAAGGAGAAAGCGTTCAGTCAATTTGGAGGCTTTTTAATCATCAGCCTGGGGGTTGGCAAATACCTCTTTGAATTTTGAGAATATCTCTTCCACTGCCTGCCAAGGCCTTGTCACCAAATTTATCACTTCAGTTCACTTGTTTTTTTCCCTCCCATGTCACTACCACATCTACACCCAGCTCTGTACTGCATTCAGGAACTGACCCAACCATTTCTGAAGTTGCTGCTAATGTTATACGAAAGAATCGTCACTGGTTCCCTTGAAGAGCATAGTCTATCTTCCTGGCAACCTGGCGAATGACTGACAAACACGACTTTCCAAGGTATTGGCATTGGCTGCGTCTGTTCCAGTGTAATTTCATCAGCTGCACAGACGAGGGATGCTAATTAGTTTGTTGATACATATGTGATTTAATGAGACTAAACACTTAACTGATCTTGAAGTAAGCACAGTTTGTTTCCTGTTGCTGTTTTTACTTTAATTAAAAAAAAAAAAAAAAACATGTTAGGCACACTGGCTGGAAATCAGAGCACTGTGTCATCTTGGAGAAAAAAGAATTTCCAGGAAGTCTGACTGGTCAGTTGTGTCCTGCTCTAATGAGATTGAAGAGAAAAGGATAAAATATTGGGTTTGAGAACAAGGGTTGAAATCCAATTTAAATAGAAGATTAAGCATAATGGAAGAATTTTCATAAACTACATTATGTCGGAATCCTCAGTGCAATACTAAAATTATAATATGTACCAGAATAACTGATTTTAGGAAGAAATTCCAGACCCACATCAGCTCCAACATATAATCTTCTATTTTTATGGCCTTTTTTTAAGTGCCCTCTTTTCTAGTTATTATATTATATTTTTATGTAACTGAAACTATGACATTCAATTAATACAATTTTTCTTCCTAAAAATTCACATAAAATAATGGTATTTTGATTTTTATTAATAAATATTTATTAAGAATTATCTACTAGACTCTTAATTACTTTCAAGTTGTGCAAAACCGAATCCAGAGAGGTTCTCTATTTTGGGAGTGGGAAGAGGTGATGAGGAAGTAACTCTAACCCCATGGTTAAAATTACATTTATTTTAAAACGCTTCATCTAATTTGCTTAGCTTTTTGCAAACATGAGTCAGTACTATGACCTGTGCAGCCCGTTTTCATGGGACCATGTCCATGCTCTCTGCTCTGTGTATCTGCTGCAGTGACAGAGTTGAGGTGTTGACCACAAGCTCAAGTGACCCACTCTGCCTTTATGGGGAGGTTGGACCCCTGATCTACACCATGCCAGAGGACAGGAGTTAATAAATAGTAATAGGTGGCACTCCTGCCAATGCAGGAGACAAATGAGACATGGGTTTGATCCCTGGGTGGGCAGATCCCCTCAAGTAGGAAATGGCAATCCACTCCAGTATTCTTGACTGGAGAATCCCAAAGACAAAGAAGCCTGGCGGTCTACAGTCCATAGGGTCACAAAGACTCGGATAGGACTGAAGTGACTTAGCATGCATGCTTAATAGTGTTGTTGAGAAACATTAAAGACTGAGAAACAGCTACTTGTAGAACTGAATCTTAAACAGATCTTGGTGGAGAGCTGTAGATCTGCAGGTCTTTCAGAATCCAGTAACTGGTCCTCCATCACCAGATCACCTCTGGGCACCCAGCAGCCTCTGAGACAGACCATGCCCTCTTCTCTGCTGGCAGAATATGGTTTCTGCTCCTTCATGCTGAAAGCATCTCCCTTTATACCTTCCTGAAGATTCATAAATCATGTAGGAACAAGGATTTGGGGTTTGACTTTAAGAAGCAGAGTCACGTAGGTGAAATCTTTGAACATGACACAAATGAACTTCTTTACAAAACAGAAACAGACACACAGACCTAGAAAACAAACTTATGGTTACCAAATGGTTAAAGGGGGAGGGATAAATTAGAAGTTTGGATTAAATGTATACCTCTAGCTGATTCATGTTGAGATTTGACAAAAAACAACAAAATTCTGTAAAGCATCTATGCTTCAATTAAAAAAATAAATACTAAGGGAAAAGAATCTGAAAGAATAGATACATATGTATGTAAAACTGAACTATTTTGTTGTAGCCTGAAACTAACACAACATTGTATACTGTTGTACACAATGTATACAATGTATAGTTGTATATAATCAACTATATTCCAATATAAAATAAAAATTAAAAAAGAAAAAGAAGCAGAGAGTTGGAACAGTTCCTTCTGGACTGTCAGCATCCATCATCTTCCCCAAACCTGATAACCCAGCAACGCCCCAGGGGCTGTCAGATGTGAATTCAGCTTCCTTATTTGTCCCAGTTTGGAAAATGAATTGTCCATTGCTCTAAGCCTATCGGTAATTTATCTGTGACAAATTATAAGCTGATGTTATATACATTAGGAACATACTGAGAGCGCTGAGGTGCACAGAAAAGACACAAAGTGACTGAACTCCAGTTCCAAAGACTGAAGTATAATCCTTTATGCTGGATGATTCAAGTACCACCAGCCAGCGAGCAGAATAATTACGTTCTTGTTTGCTTTCTAATGTAAACTTATAAACCATATCTTCAAGATAAACTAATTCTAGTGTATAAACTAAGCCTGATTGTTTAGAAACAAGTGTAACTTGATAATATATGAGTTTGAGTTAATTGACACCCATTGGCTGTGGAATCGATGGACCTATGTTTGAACCATAGCTCTTGCACTTTCTAGCATTTCAAATCAAAGATGACACAAACGTTGAGCCTCTGACTCACTTGTGATAAGAATACCTATTTCAAGTGGTTGCTGTGAAGCTTAAATATAAATACAGGGTTCTTAGCACTGTACCAGACCATGTGTTCTTTTTCCCTCTTTTTTGAGTTTTTTTATTTTCCAAGTATGGAAGTAGTCGGCGGACCCAGTTAATCAACATCATTGTATTGTTGACAAGCTGAATTTACAACCAGATGGTTCCACTGAAAAGTTAACTAATGAGACATGGGTTGTGAATTATGGAGACTCCATTACAACATCAACAAAAACAAATGTACAGGGGAAAATCAGTGAGAAGGGTCATGCTCCTGACTTTGGGGACTCCTAGGAAGAGAAGCCTTCTTGGATTACTCCAGCATCATCTGGATTTGGATTCAAAGTCTCCTGTAAATCCAGTGGCCTATTCTTAGGAATCAGGAGTATTTTGAAAAAATATTATTTGTTTTTCATTTTGGTGATATTTTAAACATATTTTACTATTTGTAGAGATAAGTGTCTTTGGCAGTAATCATTTCAATTAATTTTTTTTCATGTAAAAGACAATGTTTCAGATCTAACAACATATACTTGGGCATCATTATATACATTTTTTCTTTAGATATGTTTAGGAGACATTATGCATGCTATTCTGATTTTTTAGAAAATACAGACTAATGAGAATTTAGTAGTATCAGCAGTGATATGACATAGTTTGAGACCCAGCTTCTGTCATAAAACCACAATATTTCACCCTTGTGGAATCAAATGAGACCAAATGGGCTATAAAAATGAGGATCAGTAGTTTGTGTCAAAGACATTTTGGAGAAAATTATATTCCATTTGAAAAATATTAAACTATGAAAAGCAAGTATTTTTCTAGTATACTAGAATGCACACAGGAAAAGGAAATGGCGACCCACTCCAGTATTCTTGACTGGAGAATCCCAGGGACGGAGGAGCCTGGTGGGCTGCCGTCTATGTGGTCGCACAGAATTGGACATGACTGAAGTGACTTAGCAGCAGCAGCAGCAGAATGCACACGTAGGAAATAAGATCTTTACCAAATGTTCCATCCATTCATAATGGACATTTGCACCAGAATTTTTTTTCAACTTGAAAATGACATAGGACTGTATGGTCTTCACTTTTTCATACCTGTATTTTTCTCTTTCCATAGGAATACAGGGTCACTCCTTTTTCTCCTCTGACCTTCTGCAGCCCCTGGACTCCCTGGTCACCAACATCTCTGGTCCACTAGTGGCTTCTGTGTGTCCATCCTGGTAAAAAGAACCAAGCCCAGGAGCAATCACCATGTTCTGCGCGAAGCTGAAGGATCTGCAGATCACAGGGGACTGCCCCTTCTCCCTGCTGGCCCCGGGGCAGGTCCCCAGAGAGCCCTTGGGGGAAGCCACAGGGAGTGGGCCAGCAGCTACCCCAGGGCAGCCGGGCACCTGTCCAGGTGTCCCTGACAAGAACCCGCCCGGAAGGCTTCCCCGGAGGAAGACCAGCCGCAGCCGGGTCTATCTTCACACTTTGGCAGAGAGTATTTGCAAACTGATTTTCCCAGAGGTGAGTGCCTGCCCTTTCAAGATCTTACTGACATTTTGAAAATGGTAATAGGGTGTTTTCCTAAGAAAAATGTGAGCACTCGCTTTCTCACTTTCAAGGCTACAGTAGATGTAGACAATTTGACAATTTTCTGAAAACATTTAAAAACATTTTTAAAAAGCAATCATTTTCTTAAATTGTGTTTAATCTTAAAATGTTTACAGTCTTGCATTCTTTTCCAAAGCATCCTGCACTCTGACAAGTTTTATGACTTTGAGCAGCTGTTTCATCCTCTTGGCCTCAGCATCCTTATCTGAAAATAGACATGCTGACAGTCCCAGGTCCCTACAGTTTGCACAAGCATTAGGTGAAATAATCCACAGCTCTCACCACCCACCAAGACCCATTAGTTACTTATGGACGGCAAGCTATTTTTTTTTTTTATAGATTCATTAGCTAATTTTTTTAGAGCTAAATTCCTTGGAGAATAACTTATTCTTTGCTGGGTTTCCCTCATCTAATTCCTAAGAGCATCATCTGTTCCCGCCAACTTGCTGAAGTGTGGAGACGCCCCCGCCCCACCTTGTCCTGCTGGGTTGGTCAGGGTCACAGGCCTGTTTAAGATACCCCTGTCACCAGTTTGGACATGTCTTGGTGTTGGTCTGTGGGCTGCACAGCCTAATGCTGTTTTGAGATCTGGAGCCCCACCCTTAAAGGGATTCAGGAAAGACAAACACTGTATGGTCTCATATGTGGAATCTTAAAAAACAACAAGAACTCATAGAAAAAGAGATCATACATGTGGTTCCCAGAGGCAGAGGGTGGGAAAGGGGCTTAGAGGAAGGTGGTCCAGAGATGTTGGAAGATAAGATAAATGAGTACCATGGGAGTAACTCATGGTGACCCTGCCATCTTGTGTGGTGTGTAGGAAGGTTATCAGGTACATCCTCTGAGTTCTCATCACAAAGACAAAGTTTTTTGTTTTCCTTTCTTTTCTTTGTGCTGCATCTATATGAGAAGATGGATGTTAGCTGAGCCTTACTGGGGTCATCATTTCACACTACATGTAAATCAAGGTGTCATGCTGTATGTGTAAACTTAAACAGTAATGTATGTCAATTATTTCTCAATAAAACTGGGGGGAAAAGAGAAAACAGGAAATACTGGGGACAGGCCATAGACCTAATTAGGTAAAATATGTTTGGAATAGACAGGGCTTGTGGAGAGCTCCTCACCCCATGGGGCTAAGGAAAAGAGCTACTGAAAGTCTTCATGGTGTGTGTTCCTCCCTCTGACAGTGTTCACAGCTTTATGCAAATTCACTTGGCCTAGGAGGTTGGGCATTGAAATAATCAGATTCTGGCGCTCATAATTTATTGATGATTTTTAATTGACTCCACACCAACCCTTTACCTTGTGAGAAACACTGGAGGACCACAGGCTGCTGACTTTTAGGACTGGAAGGACCTTCAGAGGTAACCTTGTTTCATTCCCAAGAAGGACCCGAGAGGCTGAGTGACCTGACCAAAGTCACACAGCTTTTGAAGGATGCAGCAGTTACTGCTGTCAGCTACATGGGCTCAACTGGCAAAGAAGAGACTTGAAGCTTGAAGAATGGATAAATTAGAATTGGCAGGAAGTTGAGGGAACTTATTTCAAATGTAAGATAAGCACAGTAGTAGACTGGCTAGTAGCTTTTGAGATGGAAATATTTAATTACTGTCTCCCCGCTTCAGTCACCAGCAGCCAGCGTTGGCTGGGATGAGGGATGCAGCTCTTCCCTGGCAGTTGCTTGGTGTCAGTCTGGGAAGCGGTTGGCACCCTCATTTCCAAGGGCAGAGCATGGGGATGAGCAGATGGTGAGGTTGGGAAGCTGGAGAGCGGCCATGCTTTCCCCAGGTCCTGTCATTACCCCGTTGGCTTCATTATTTTGTTTGATAAATTCTGAATTCCTACAATGGAAGTCATGCACGTATTGGAATCTCTTTTAAAAACATTCAGAATATCAAATATATGCGTTCTTATTTTCCTTTATTTAGGATAATCTGTGTCATTTGTTTGCGGGCTCACGGGAGCTTTGAGTGTGCTGTCGTGTGGCAGGGAAAAGCCAGGCTGAGGACTTCAGGAGGCGAGAGGGCTGCCCTTGACCTGAAGAACCAGGGCTCTTTCCCACACCTGAGGCCGTTTTCATTCACGTTTCAGCAAACATCCCAGGGCCGGATGCATTCATGCTGAATAGCAACCAAACTAGATTACTTCATCAGCTATTCAGACACCTAGGTGTCTTTGATTAAACAGGGCTTTTGTAAAAACTGATCTTTTTTAAGTGGACAGATTTAATACTTAGCCTACTGTTCAATTTCAGTCCCATCAGTAGCCCCAAAGAAGAGACTCCAGAGAGCATTTGATGGCATCCTCGTTCTTGTTTTTGATGATTAGATGTAAACTATGTTATGTTTTATGGGGGGCAAGTATTATAGTTCATTATCCTTAGCAGATTTAGAGTGGGAGATGGTATTCCAGAGTCATGGAATCGTAGATTACAAAGGTCTTATGGCTCATCTAGTGCAAACTTTTCATTTGTTTGAAGAAATTAAGACACATAAAAGTTAGATCACTTGCTGTAAGATAAGTAGGGGAGATGGAAAGGTCTCTGCACCTCATTCATAATCTGTTGCTCTTCTATTATATTATTAGCTGATTTTTCATGGAAATTCTCCCCAATAATCCTGTAAGCTCCTCAAGCAGAGTGTTTTTATTTTTATTTTATTTTTCCCCATTTATTTTTATTAGTTGGAGGCTAATTACTTTACAGTATTGTAGTGGGTTTTGCCATACATTGACATGAATCAGCCATGGATTTACATGTGTTCCCCTTCCCGATCCCTTCCCACCTCCCTCCCCATCCCATCCCTCTGGGTCTTCCCAGTGCACCAGCCCTGAGCACTTGTTTCATGCATCCAACCTGGGCTGGTGATCTCTTTCACCCTTGATAGTATACTTGTTTCAATGCTATTCTCTCAGAACATCCCACCCTCACCTTCTCCCACAGAGTCTGATAGTCTATTCTGTACATCTGTGTCTCTTTTTCTGTTTTGCATATAGAGTTATCATTACCATCTTTTTAAATGCCATATATATATATGTGTTAGTATACTGTATTGGTCTTTATCTTTCTGGCATACTTCACTCAAGCAAAGTGTTTTTAAAATAACTGCATCTTAGCTAAAATAACATGATCTTAGCTACAGTTGTAGCAAATCAGAACCCATTTCCTGAAGTGAATCGAGTCACAAATGCTTATATGAGGGCTTCTCAGGTGGCATTAGTGATAGAGAACCCACCTGCCAATGCAGGAGACATCAGAGATGCAGGTTCGATCCCTGGGTTGGATAGATCCCCTGGAGGAGAACATGGCTTACCCACTCCAGTGTTCTTGCCTGGAGAATCCCATGGACAGAGGAACCTGATGGGCTACAGTCCATAGGGTCGCAAAGAGTCAGACATGTGGCTGAAGCGACAACACAACACACAGCAGCACATACTTATATGAAGGATCTTATCCCAAGTCAAACACCTTGTGAGATTAAGGGGATCTGAAGGAGCTCCTGAAATCTCTGAATGTGTTGTGAAATATTGGGTTGTAAGAAGAGAAAAAGTATTAGTATTCCATTATCCTTATGAGCTAAAATTTCCTTGGTCTAGAAGAACATTAAGAACTAAAGAAAACATCCCATCCCAGGTCCTGCCATACTTAAAACCTTTCAGTGACTTTTCTTTGCTCTTACATAAACATAAGCTTTCTTAATGTAGCCTCTAGGCCAAAAGGAAAAATGCAGAAAAGTTAAAAATCATCTGAAATAGCAACTAATCCATAAACCAGAGCGATGAAATTCCATTCAGAGTGTTCCCAGCAATACTGGATCAAACGGCAGTTGTACCTAAAGTGTTAATATACTAGTATCCTCCAGGGCCATTCTGCAGTCATTGATTGTGCGTCATGAGGCGTGAGATCTCAGGGAAGTTGAGTCCTGCTCCTGACTTTCTTGTGATCTGCATCATCTCAGGGTGTAGGCTCAGGATGTGCTCGAGAAGCCTTAGGACCAAAGTAGGAAGCTCTAGGTACTGGCAGCCTTTACCAATAAATGTTTTGTCTGAAAAACTTATGGGTTTTGTTTTGAATTTATAACAGTTTTCCAGAGGAGCAGTCGTGTATGATGAAAGCAGACACCAAAGCCTGTTTAGCTGTGATATCACTAACGTATGCTGCTACAGCTTGGCTAGGACTTCAGAATTTTTTACTTAAAAAAAGCAAATTCTTTTTTTAAAAAAAAATTTATTGGAGTAGAGTTGACTTAGAATGTTGTGCTAGTTTCAGGTGTATAGAAAAGTGAGTCAGTTATACATATACATGTATCCATTCTTTTTTCAGATTCTTTCACCTTATAGGCTATTACAGAATATTGAGTAGAGGGCCCTATGCTATACAGTAGCTCCCGAGTTCTGATTCAGCATAGAAAGTCAGGAAGACACCTGTTCTAGGAACTCCAGCAATGAGAGAGAGGGACCATTTGTCCTTTCTTACAATGATAGCACATATGTTAGGAGAAAAGGACTAGAAAAAGAAGTTCCTGGTGGCAGTGGGAAGGAAATGAAAGACCAGGAAGAATACAGACTGAGAATGGTAAAAACATATCCTAGGGATTTAACCAAAAGATCAAGAGGAGGAGAGAGGATGGTGATATTTCCACTAGTACTCGAGGTGAGGAAGGAGAAAGTCTTCAGGGGCAGAAACGGATGGATTTTCTTTCCTTGTCGTCCATACCAAGTTCCTGGTCAGAGCAATAAATCATGTATGGGCAAATGTAATTCAAATTATTTTAACTTGGAAATAATATAAATTGTGTTTTCGAGCAAGCTGCAATGGTAACATCCCTGTACTGAATTATATTGAATTATATTGCTTCACTGATTTAGATGTCACAGACTAAGCCTTCAGGACTTGGAATGGCTGACAGGGGAGATGATGTGCATTCATTCCTTTCTCCCTTCATTCCATCAGTATGTAGGTAGCATCTCCTGTGACCAGGTACTTTCTAGGGGCCTGACATGCAGTGGTGAGCTAAACAGATCTTCCCTGCTCTTTTGGAGTCTCTATTCTAGTGAAGAAGACAGAAAACAAGAAAAAAAAAAATGTCAGGTTGCAAATGCTTGAAGGACAACCAAGATCTGCTGTGCAGGCAGTGACCATCATGTCACTGATGACCCCTCTTCCTTACAGTGGCTCAGCTGTAAAGAAAAATCTGCCTGCCAACGAGAGAGTTGTGGGAGACGCAGCTTCTATCCCTGGGTGGGGAAGATCCCCTGGAGGGGAAAAATGGCAACCCACTCCAGTATTCTTTCTTGGGAAATCTCATGGACAGAGGAACCTGGCGGGCTACAGTCCACTGGGTTGCAAAGAGTCAGACACGACTGAGCATGCACGCACGCACACACTTTCTGTCTGAATAGGTTTTAGAGAAGGACAAAACTCCCAGCAACCCAGAGTTTCATGGGTTTTCATCCACAAAGACTTGCTAGTGTTTGTGGTTCCAGAGTCACTCTCTATGAAGTCAAAGCCCCTTGATGGGGTGAAGCTGATACTGGCAGTCTTATATATAACTGATGGGAATGCCAATGGCTACAAACTTTTATGAAATTGATCTGGAAAGAGCTACTGAAAATTGAGCTGCTGAAAATCCATAGATTTTAAGGATTCCACTTAAAAGAATATAACCTATAGAAATAAAAAGCTGTACATAAGGATAAGAAGAAAACAAACAAAAATGCCCTTGAGATATTGAAGCCTTCTTAAGCACCCTAGGCTGTCTGCTCCTGCCTCCTTTAGGGTCTCAAATCTAATGTTTCCTTCTTCCTTCCCTGATTTAAAAGAACATGCCCACATTTCCTTTCGTAAACCTGCTCTCTGCCTGCTAGGCAATCGCCCTTTGCCACAGGGTTCTGGGCCCTTGCTCAGAATCTGCCTGCTGGCCTGGCACTCTCCAGCCCTTCTTTCTCTCTCTCCTTGTCTAAACCATCATAAAGATTGGTATATGGGTAAATTTAAGTTCTATTTTATTTCTTTTCAGCACTTGTGTTGTCTTTCAAGAAATTTCACGTTTAAGTTCTATTAATATATGCTGTTTAGAAACCAAAAGTTCTTTTCATAATTTCATTAAAACAGAAGCTTGGTCGATTTTGCTTAAGTTTACTGTCTCACTTGACCAGTGGAAAGTCTAAGAGGGATATAAATAGTTCTTAAGGAAAAAGGAATTTCACAACTTGGGACAGAGCCAGAGAATTCTCCACTGTCCTCTGGATAAACTACAGAAGGCGGCTGTATACACATGCAGATACATAGAATTTTTTTTTTTATGGAATGTAAAGAAGTTACCAATGATTTACTTTCTACTCATTAACTGGTTAGGGAGAGCAAGCTGCTAAGAGATATTAATTCTCAACCAATATTTAAAGCTATGCAGGCTTACATGCACGTATTTTGCAATCTAGGAAGATTCATGAGATACTCAGAAATCAGTAAAAGAGAAGAACACTGTAAGTATTTTGTGAAGATTGTTTGTTCAAGGCAAAGAAATGAGTACAAGTTTGGGGAAATCCAAGATTTGTTTCAATCAGTAATCAACTGAACTCGGTGACAGATTGGATTTAAGGGATAAAAGAAAGGGAAGAGACAGATGCTTGGAGTTTCTAGAGCAGGAAGAGACAGGAATGACACATGAGCAGAATGTGAGACTGTGGGAAGGTGGAGGATCTCAGCATGGGGTAGGGGGCTGCTATGGGTCTGTGGAAGGAATGAGGGTCTCCTGGCTTGAGCCCTGCTGAGACTGAAGTCCTGGCTGCATGTCCAAGGGATTTCCTGACCTGGAGGAAGGGGTGCCTGACTTCACCAAACTGAGTCTCTTGTGTGATTCCAGCTCGGTGGCTGTCGGAACCACCCACCAGGGGCACAGCCCACATCCAGATTCAAGTTCGTTTGTGTTCTTGGCTTCTTCCCAAATGTGGGAGCCTTTGAAAATCAGTCCTCTTTTCCACAGGGGTAGTTCAACTACACTTGTCATTAAAGTAGCAATGCTTCTGCTTCTTCCTGACAAGCTCTCAGAAGAAATTTCGTGAAGTATCTATTTTCAAGAAAATGATTATTTAAGGGAGTGTTTAAAACTTTTCTTTTCAATTTTCAGTTTGAGCGTCTGAACCTTGCCCTTCAGAGAACATTGGCAAAACACAAAATAAAGGAAAACAGGTAAATTGAATTATTTCAGTTGCATGAATCTCCTGTTACAGTCACTGACACAGCTACTAATAACCAGTGCTTAGTGGTGTATCACATATATGAATCATTTTGGTATGCCAGGAACTGGGCTAAGCATTTTAGCTGCCACTAATCTGAAAGGAAGTGTGTTCATTTTTCACAGTTCATATGTCACTAAGCTCAGGTTTCTATAAAATGTCTTGAATTTTATAGCTGTTTAGGAAATGGCAGAACGGAGTTTGAAGCCTGGGTTTTTCAGAGCCCATGATTTTAACCATGTTATCCTGTGCTGCTCCATTTAGTAAACTCCCAAAAGGCCTATTCTTTTCTGCTAGGGTGTAATTTCTGAAATATTTAACAAAGTGAAGGCGTGGATCAGAGGAGACTCCTGCTTGAAGAACAGTGCCAAGAATCTGGGGCCAGGTCCCAGTGCAGCCTGCCTGTCCCCTCGCCCCAGCCTGAGCCACAATTTTTAAAAATTAATTAATTTTAATTGGAGGCTGATTACTTTACAATAATACATAGGTTAAATTTTTAGCTCCTGCATCAGGAGGGAAGGATGTGGGAGCAAGAGGTGGGCAACTCAGGAGTGGGGCGACAGCTGGATCAGTCCTTATGGAAGTGTTTCAGTATTTTCCTAACTAGCTTGGTTATACTGATTATACTGATATTCAGATACCTGTTCTAGTCATACTTTTTCTTCTACTCTGTCTTTGAAATTTTCTTTAAGAAAGCTTTCTGTAACAGTTTCGTATATAAGGTGAATTAAAAAAAACTAAACAATCCCTGATTTTTAGAGTTCATTTTACAAATACATCTTGCACATTTACTGCTGGCTCATTTACTTGATTTGGCTTTGTTTTGGTTTCCCAGAAATTGAAGGATTATTTGCTATGTAAATACTACAATAAACACTTGCGTTCAAATTGCAGAGTTGAATTTGCAGTTTTTGCAAACTAGTACCCTTGTCGGGAATATTTTATACATTCATCCATCTGTCTGCTACTCAGGAGAGGATCATTGCTCTGTGAGTTTTCTGGGCTTAATTTCGCTTGCTGACTAACTGGTCCCAGGCTGCAGGCGGCAGGCAAGCCAAGAAGGGGTCAGAGACAGGTCCAAAAAGAGAGTGTGAATCTATGTGTCTGACAGAAGCTGTGTTTGCAGAGTGATATGGACAGCATTCCAGAAGCCTCTGACCTTAATTCTCAGTCCGGCTGATAAGATAGCCAGCAAGTCCTGAAGCTGTCCTACTGTGTCTGTCTGCCTGAGGCCTTGGCAGCCAGTTGACTCAGAATTTATTCCCAGGGCTTGGTGTCCTGAAATATGCCTAAGCTTGATGCTGATATTCAATTAGGATGTGTTCCCAGAGATGGAGCTCTTTAAAAAAAAAAAAAAAAAAAACTTAAACCTTAAAGAAATGATTTTATTTGAAATTTTGAAAAATCTTTTTCTTCTTCTTTGACTTCTTAAAGAGTTGATCATACTTTTAAATTGTCCTAATGATTAGACCACTGTTGAAATAAGAAGAGGGACTTTTTCTCTTGTGAGACTGTCTGCTGATGATGCCAAATGGCTTGTCTCTGCTTTGTTTCTTTAATTCTTGGCTATGTTGGGCCTTTTCCCCCATCTTTCTGGAAGGTCGGCTGCCATTTCTACTGAGGTCAGTGTGCTGACTGTTGAGCGGAACTTCACTTTCCCGCCCACCACCATTTTTAAAATTTTAAATTTGTTTATTTTTAAATTGAAGGATAACTGCTTTATAGAATTGTGTTGGTTTCTGCCAAACATCAGTATCAACATGATGTTTCTGCCAAACATCAGCCATAGGTATACATACGTCCTCTCCGTCTTGAACCTCCCTCCCATCCTCCTCCCTATCCCACCCCTTTAAGTTGTTACAGATCTCTGATTTGAGTTCCCTGAGTCATACGGCATACCCACCACCAGTTTTAAGTGAATGAGTTTTATACAGTCATTATGATACTCTTTAGGGTTGGTTTCAAGCTTTTGCTTTTATCTTTTCCTAGGACCTTTTGATCACATCATGTGTGAACTCATGGCTGGTGTATGTCTGCCTGTGTGTATAACACACTTCATTTGCTGGTGTACATGCGATATATGCCTTCTTTTAAAAAAATTTTGAAGGTAAAGTTAGGGAGCTTATTTTGAATGTCACTGTGTGACGTTTGACTTAGCTAAGTTGCTTAAATGAGAAGAAGGAACAAATCTGAAGACTGATTAATATAGTATATAACAAGGGGTTGGGGGTATCTAATTCAAACTACATGTAATATCATAGCCTGATCCCCAAGTTATTTAGATAAGAATATCTTTCTGACTGTTGTTGTTCAGTCACTAAGTCATGTCCAACTCTCTGTGGCCCCATGGACTGAAGCACTCCAGGCTTCCCTCTCCCTTACTATCTCCCAGACTTTGCTCAAACTCATGTCCAGTGAGTCGGTGATGCTATCCAACCATCTCATCCTCTGTTGCCTATCTTCTCCTCCTGCCCTCAATCTTTCCCAGCATCAGGGTCTTATTCTAGTGAGTTGGCTCTTCGCATCAGGTGGCCAAAGTATTGGAACTTCAGCTTCAGCATCAGTCCTTCCAATGAATATCCAGGGTTGATTTCCTTTACGATTGACTGGTTTGATCTCCTTGTAGTCCAAGGGACTCTTAAGAATCTTCTCCAGCACCACAATTTGAATGCATCAATTCTTTGGTGCTCAGCCTTCTTTATGGTGAAACTCTCCTATTCAAACATGACTACTGGAAAAACCATAGCTTTGACCAGATGGATCTTTGTCGGCTAAGTGATATCTCAGCTTTTTAGCATGTTGTCTAGGTTTGTCATAACTTTTCTTTCAAGGAGCAAGCATCTTTTAATTTCATGGCTGCAGTCACTTTCTGCAGTGATTTTGGAGCCCAAGAAAATAAAATTTGCCATTGTTTTCACTTTTCTCCCACCTATTTGCCATTAAGTGATGGAACTGGATGCTATGATCTTAGTTTTTTGAATGTTGAGTTTTAAGCCAGATTTTTCACTGTTCTCTTTCACCCTAATCAAGAGGCTCTTTAGTTCCTCTTTACTTTCTGCCATAGAGTGGTATCATTTGCATATCAGAGGTTGTTGATATTTCTCCCAGCAATCTTGATTCCAGCTTGTGATTCATCCAGCCCAGCGTTTCTCATGTTGTACTCTGCATATAAGTTAAATAAGCAGGTGACAACATACAGCCTTGACATACTTGTTTCCCAATTTTGAACAGTCTTTTGTCTCATGTTATAAGCAGTATACCTTTATGTGATCAAGTAGCCAGTGGCGTGATTTTCCTTGTCAAAATTTTTTTCGCTTGAAATTTCTCTACATGTATCATGCTTTATTGAAATATGTTTGATATAATATTTTCAATTGATGCCTATTTGTGATCTTGGCTTGTCTAATAGCAAACTGAACCACAAAATAACTTGGGTATCTTTTAATATGCTTTAGTAGTTTTGTAAATTAGATTTTAATCAGTTATCACTATCAGAAATCATCAAAAAAACAGTTAAGCAAACATGAATCAACAAGTTGTCCAGTTGAAATTGCAAAAACCTTCTATCATTCAAATGTATGCTATTATCATATATCATTAATCATATATATTAAATTATATTAATTATTATTATATAAATATATTATAAACTGTGCTATTTAAAGCAGTTCAGTAACTGAATAAGGAATTAATTTCTTTAGTTACTAATTTTATATTAGATCAAGGATAAAAGTTTAATGTGATGGTGCCTGATAGTTAAATATATAGAACCTAAAACCTAAAAGTAGCATATTCTGTGTATTTGCTTTAGAAAATAAATAAGGACTTACTTAGAAGTGAAATCCATCAGTAGGTAGATTTTTCTTCTTGGTTGCTTTATCAGAAAAGCCCATCTTGATTTATTATCTTCCTTGGCCATTTTGTACCACAGGGTTTTCTGTCAGTACAAACCTCTGTACTATTAGCTTATATGAAGTTAGTTTCAAAGGTAACTATACTTTATAAAAAGTGATGAAACAGTCTAGATCATGTATATTTGGGGGTTTTCCAACATTGATTTGGTTTGTACATGTCACTGCTCCTTTCCTTTAAACTCGACTGTCAAGATTTGCCTCTACAGAGAAGGTAATTTAAATTATTTTCTGTCATCATTTCTGTATGTTATAATCTGAAATTTTAGCATTCATTTGTCAGTTTATAATTTAAGATGTTGAAATAATTTCAGGAAATCTTTGGAAAGAGAAGACTTTGAAAAAATAATTGCAGACCAAGCAATTGCAGCAGGTAATAGAATTAAGTATGTGAAATTAGGAAATAATTTGTTTATAGAACTATTTCACCTGTAAACTAAAATTTTCTGTTCCTAGAAAATATTTACCTGGAGAACTAATATTTTCTTTAAAATATTCATGTTTATTTGGTGGTAACATCCAATGTGAAATGTTTAATATCATGTTTTGTGTTAATGTAAAGAATAACTCTTTTTCATACTTATACCTTTGTTTGACTTCAAACGTTTCCTTTTCTTACAATGTTTATTTGCTGAGAAATAGATAAAGCTGCCTGGCAGGCTGATGCATAGACATTCATATGCTTTGGTCTTGAACTTAGTAACTAAGTGTCCTTCATTTATGCATGAAAACTTCTACTCAACATAGTAACAAAAGTAACTTTTTAAAGGTTGGAAGCAATTATGAGAAATTATGAGAAATGTGAGCACTGCTCACATATTAATACTTAGTTTGGAAGAATCAAGCAGACGAGTGACTTTGTCATACTGTCCTTTTCAAAGTTTGAGTGCATGGACCAACTGGTGAGGTTTTTTTTGAAGTAGAAGATTTGAAGAATTTGCTTCTGCTGCTGCTGCTGATGGCTGACTTGCACTGAACCCTCTCTCTGGGGCAGGCACAGTTCTAACATGGCCCACAAACACCACAGCAGTGCTGTGAACAGGGCCTCCATGTTTCCCCAAGTTCCAGATGAGAAGAATGTGGTACAAAGAGTTTAAAGAATAAAGGACACTAGCGAAGGAAAAGTTGTGGAAAGTAAATGATACATTCCCAACACATTTTTCATTCAGGTAACATTACACAACAAGAATGCTATTTTGCTCAATAATAATAATAATATTCATTACTATTATAATATATTACTTTATGTCATCTCAGGAAAAATGACAAAACTGAATTTCACCACCAATGATATAAATTAATTCTGTATCTGATGCTTCTCTTCCAAGGGGGCTAGTAACCCCTTCACAACATGTGCCACTGTTTCTGATGTTAACAAGGTGGGAGGACTTCTTTTGAAAGAGGTTTAATCCTGTGATTTCAATTGCTCTTTTACAGTTAAGTTTCAGGATGATAAAAAGTCATATCTTATACTCAACTGATCATTCTTTCATAATTAACCAATTCGGGTTTATATTTGGAGTTACTTGAATTTTAGAAATGAATTTATGCAGATAATTTGGACAAAAACGGTTAATTTTGGTTGGAACTCTTAGTAGCAGATATAAAGCAAGCTAAATAGTCAGATTAGGTGGTATTAAAAACAGTAGTAAAAATACAGCCCTGCCAAGATGATGCATATGATATGGCAGAAAATGTGTTCTGTGCTTTCAGGAGTTCCGGTGGAGATCCTCAAAGAATCTCTTGGTGAGGAGCTTTTTAAAATATGTTATGAAGAAGATGAATACATCCTAGGTGTGGTTGGAGGAACCCTGAAAGATTTTTTAAATAGCTTCAGCACTCTCCTGAAACAGAGCAGCCACTGTCAAGAAGCAGAAAAGAAGGGCAGGTTTGAAGACGCGTCCATCCTGTGCCTGGACAAAGATCCCAATATCCTACATGTTTACTACTTCTTCCCCAAGAGGATCACTTCCCTGATTCTCCCCGGCATCATTAAGGCAGCTGCTCGCATACTGTATGAGACGGAGGTGGAGGTTTCCCCGACGCCTTCACGCTTGCACCAGGACTGCCGTGAGTTCGTGGACCAGCCTTGCGAGCTCTATTCCGTCCACGTCAGGAGCGCCCGGCCACACCCGCCTTCCGGGAAGCCTGTGTCCTCGCTGGTCATCCCTGCCTCGCTCTTTTGCAAGACCTTCCCTTTCCACTTCATGCTGGACAGAGATATGAGCATCCTGCAGCTCGGCCATGGCATCAGGCGGCTGATGAGCAGGAGAGATGTGCAAGGGAAGCCTCATTTTGACGAGTACTTTGAGATCCTGACCCCCAAAATCAGCCAGACCTTCAGCGGCATTATGACCATGCTGAACATGCAGTTCGTGGTGCGAGTGAGGAGGTGGGACAACTCCGTGAAGAAATCTTCCAGGGTAAGAACAGTTGTCCTGTTGTGATATGGAATCAATGATTTTGCTTTTAAAGACTGGGTGTGAAAAATGTAAAAATATACTGTATTACTTCAGGATATTTTAAACATTTTTTATTGTGGGCCGTTTTTAAAGTCTTTATTGAATTTGTTACAGTGCTGCTTCTACTTTATGTTTTTTGGCTTTTTGGGTGAAGGGAATGTGGGATTTTAGTTCCCTGACCAGTTTGCGGAGTCTTAACCACTGGACTGTCAAGGAATTCCCCAAAATTTTTAATAAAATATTTCTGTTTAAAATAATTCTAAAATACTTTGAAGGCTGGAATAAATTTAAAACAAGATTCTTTGTGCATTCATTTGCTTGCTTACTTACGGCATTACTTCACAAATATTTTTTGAATGCAATCTACCTTTAGAAATTTTTGTGTGCTGTGCTGTGCTAAGTCACTTCAGTCGTGTCTGACTCTTTGCAACCCCATGGACTATAGCCTGCCAGGCTCCTCTCTCCATGGGATTCTCCAAGCAAGAATACTGGAGTGGGTTGCTGTGCCCTCCTCCAGGGGATCTTCCCGACCCAGGGATGGAACCCACATCTCTTATATCTCCTGTATTGGCACGTTGGTTTTTTACCATTAGCGTCACCTGGAAAATATTCATGGAGTATTTTATAACTGAATTATAAAAATACTTATGTAAAAATATGGCTTCGATCATCACGAAATAGCTGACTTAATTTGGATAATAAGAGGATTTCTATAACAAAGAAACAAAAATGACTTGTTTCTTAGAGGAGGCAACTAAATGGATTCTTAAGTCCATATTGAATAGACATGGAAAAAATCAATAACTTGTTTGATTAACTGTTAGAAAATGTGGGAGAAAGTGTTCTGCTCTCATCTCATAGTAGAGAACCATGCATGATTTAGAAAAGAAGGTTGGAAATCACAGTCAGTTGTATAACTGAGCTCATAGAAAGGCTCACGACGCGCCTGACTTCTGGACAAGTTAATCCAGAAGACACAGTCTCTGTCCTCCCAGATGGAAACAGCTTTATTACTTTTTATGATAAACACAGTACAGCTAAATGTTTAAAAATAGGTAATACTTTAAGATGTCCATTGCAAAATCAAAAACATTATGTACATTTTTGTTTAAAACAAAAAAGCTACTTTTTACAGTTCTTTTTTTATCAGTAAATGATATCTGTGTGTGTCCTTCCATGTCATTAGACACTGGCCTCTTTCACTTTTTCAAAGGCCATGTCGTATCCCATTGTGTGGTCATCCTGTATTTTGGTTAACCGTCCACTGTTGAAGGACGTCCAGGCTGCTTTTGTGGCTCTGTTTCGTTAACACGTGTGTACACATCTGTCTCCTTCACACACGTGAGCCTGTGACCCGAGATGGGCACGTGAAGCCCCCTCGCCGAGGGGTCCTGTGCCTTCTTCTGCTGATGGCTGCTGCCGAGAACGCTGGAGCAGAAGCATCAGTGTGGCACGTGGTGAGAAAGCTTGGAAGCAAGAATTTGGGGCATTGTTGATTGAAAATCATGATTTCTGTGTAAACTATGATGCTGGGAAAGTTTGAGGGCAGGAGGAGAAGAGGGCAACAGGGGATGAGATGGCTGGAAGGCATCACCAACTCAATAGGCATGAGTCTGAGCAAACTCTAGGAGACAGTAGAAGACAAGGAAGCCTGGCGTGCTGCAGTTCATGGGTCACAAAGAGTTGGACACGACTTAGCGACTGAACAGCAACAATTCTACAGTATATTCTCCAGATGTCTGCATGCATTTTAGAGCTCATAGTAAACTGAAACCACAAGAGAGCCGATTGTTTCTGTCAACAACTAGAAAAAACTCAAGCTTTAAAAACAAAGCTGGGGGGAGCGGGGGACTAAGATCCTGCAAGGTGCGTGACTTGTTAAAAAAAAAAAGAAGGGATTATCACTGTATCTGTTTCCTCACTTTTTGTCTGTTGGGAATGTGAATAAGCCACAAAGCTTGGTCCTTCTACACAGGTGATGGACCTCAAGGGCCAGATGATCTACATGGTGGAGTCCAGCTCCATCCTGTTCCTGGGCTCGCCCTGCGTGGACAGACTGGAGGACTTCACGGGCCGAGGGCTGTACCTCTCCGACATCCCCATCCACAACGCGCTGCGGGATGTGGTGCTGATCGGGGAGCAAGCCAGGGCTCAGGATGGCCTGAAGAAGAGGCTGGGCAAGCTGAAGGCCACACTGGAGCAGGCCCACCAGGCCCTGGAGGAGGAGAAGCGGAAGACGGTGGACCTGCTGTGTTCCATCTTCCCCAGCGAGGTGGCGCAGCAGCTGTGGCAGGGCCACGCCGTGCAGGCCAAGCGCTTCGGCAACGTCACCATGCTCTTCTCGGACATCGTGGGGTTCACGGCCATCTGTTCCCAGTGCTCCCCGCTGCAGGTCATCACCATGCTCAACGCACTCTACACCCGCTTTGACCGGCAGTGTGGAGAGCTGGATGTCTACAAGGTAGGCGGCCAGGCCCCGCATGGGGAGAGTTGGGCGTTGGGCAAGGAGCCTGTCCTGGGAGCAGGCATCCTGCCTTCATTGTATGGGTGTCTTCTGGCTCTGAATCTGCTCAGAGATGATTATTCCAGAAAGGACAGCCACTCTGTCTTTCCACAGAATGCAGGGTGACAACGAGGGAGTGGGCTGCCAGACCCTCAGAAAGGTGATGTTTTAAATTCAGTGAGCCTGACACCTGGACTGTGAAAACTGAGATGAATTGGTTTGGTTTTCTTTTCTTTTTTTTTTTTTTTAAGTATTTATTTTTTTGGCTGCTCTGGGTCTTATTTGCAGCATGTAGGATCTAGTTCCCTGATCAGGGGTTGAACCTGGGCCCCCTGGATTGGGAGCTTGGAGTTATAGCCACTGGACCACCAGGGAAATACCAAGACAGACTGTTAAGCCTGAGATGTTTCAAAGAGGGAGGATGTAGCCTTTCCATCTGCAAAAGTAAAGAAGCAGGAGGATTACATGAATTATCTTCCGACAGATTCGTTCAGTATAGAGTAACAGGGTGCTTTTAACGACCAGGGAACAGAAACCCAAATCACCTGCTTGTCTGGTGACCAAGGGCAGGAGACGGCCTGTCTTCAAATCTTGTTTTCTTCCTTGTTTGCTTTGTAAGCAGAGAAAGTGAAACAACCTTCCCCATTTCTGAAACAGAGGATATAATATCCATTCACAGAGTTTATATGCATGAATAACATGCTTTATGTCCTGTAATCTTCATGAACGGAGCTCTTATAAAGATTATGGTAAAAAATATCTGTTATTCATCAGCCAACAGGGTTGACTGAGTGCTTGCAGGGTACCAGGCATCATTCTAGGCTCTGGGGATGCACGGAGATTGTCCCTGAAACAATAAACTATTTTTAATGTAACTGTTGTTAATAAGGGGATTCCCAGATGGAGCTAGTGGTAAAGAACCTGCTTGCCAATGCAGGAGACGTAAGAGATGCCGGTTTGATTCCTGGGTTGGGAAGATCCTCTGGAGGGGGAAACGGCAACCCACTCTAGTGTTCTTGCCTGGAGAATTCCTTAGACAGAGGAGCCTGGCGGGCTACAGTCCATGGGGTTGCACAGAGTTGGACTCGACTGAAGTGACTTAGCATGCATGGTTAATAAGAGAACCAATGAAGAGATTCTGCCTGTTTCTTTAGAAGTAAAATGTTTTCTTATGATTTAATGTATTTTACATAGTTCTCAGCATTGGCTTGAAGAATAAAGCATGCTTCTCATTTATGTGGCTTGAATCATGTTTTAATTTGCCACATAAAAAGCTGACATTTCAGAGCTTAACCTAACATGAAATAAATAAATGATTAAAGAGGAAAAAAAAATTATTTATGGGACAACATAAGCTCTGCTTGGTTCCAGTCTAGATGCTCATGGTGAAACTTTCTCTTTAAAACAGTTCTAACAGGAAATTCCAGGCAGAGCTGTATTTCCCTTGGGAAAAAAGAGGTCCATGTGTAATTACAGATAAAATAATTGGCTTCAGTTAGGTTAAGCCTGATGGCCTCTTGTGGAATTCACTGTATTTATTTGTAGACAGCTGATGTCTTGAGAAGGTCTCCTCTCAGAAATGTGAGGAGGTCTCGCTCTCCTCTGCAAACCGCCCAGCTGCTCACAGAAGCCGCCCACTGCTGCACGGTGCTCCCTGCTGAAATGTTTAAAAATGTCGTCACTCCTCTCTAGCATTCAGAACCTTACTCCTCATGGCGAGGATGGGGCGCAGAGTCCCCTGGGGACCCGGCTGCTGTCCCAGCCAGTGAGTCTGTGTCCTTGTTTCACCTGCTATTCATGTTGATGCTGTGTGGAAACACTGGAGATGCTGTGAATAAACGGGGAGGGGGCCTCCCCTCAGAATACACTTAAGATACAGAGTGTGTTCCCATCACCGGCTCACCTGTGTCTGGCTGGCTTCTGGGGAACAGCAGTTGGACCAGGACTCCATTCAGTTTCATTTTCTTTCTTTCATTCTTTTGGTCATTTTCCTGCTTATTTGATTAGTTATCTAGTGGTTTAGCATATCCTTACTGGTCCTCCACAGTTTGCCAGCGTGGTGGGGGGTGGAGTCCAGTCCCTGTGATGAGAGTCCCAGAGGAGGGAGGGGGCAAGGGAGGGACACACAGATAGAGGACAGGATAGACTCCTGTGACACCGGGGACGCCGTGCCACGCTTGCCAGCGCAGGGGCTCCAGCAGCATCGATACTCAGCAGGGCTGAGGGGGCCTCTCCCCCTACTGAGTAGCTCTCTGAGCCCTGTGACAGGTTAGCCCCTAGGCTGAGCGCATCTCCGTGTGCGTGGCCGAGGTGATGCTGTTGGATGCTGGGCTCACTCACTGGTGAATATCCTGGGCCTCAGTGGTGGAGGAGTTGATGAGAGAGCAGACTCAGAGAGCTTGCTTTCTACCAGGAAAACAGACAACAAAGGCGTGAATTCACAGCACCCCAGATGGTGTGCTCTCTCTGGAAGGAAATAGAGCAAGTGCAGGGAGCTGGGTGAGGGGATTTCACGGAAGTGGTTAGAATCGCCTTCCTTGCAAGGTGAGTTTTAGCAGAGCCTGAGGAAGCCAAGGACGTGTCTAGTGGTCACCTGCAGGAATACTGATCCAGACAAGAGAATAACAAATGTTTGCTATGTTTGAGGGAAAACAGGAGGCCAGCAGCTTGGGACAAAGTGAGCAAGAGAGAGAATAAGGAGAAGGATCAGGATCAGGGGCAGCAGAAAGGCAGGACAAGAACTTTGGGGCAGCTTAAGGGCTCTGGCATTTATTCTGAGTGAAATAAGCAATTGCTGATGTTGTCCCCCTTTCTCTTCTCTCTCACCTTCACCCCTCCAGATTGCCAGCTTTGGATCAGAACAATGATATGATCTAGGTTACAATAAGAATTTGGAGGAGAAAAATGCACCTATTACAATTTGGTAGCTTATTTGTGGATTTAAATGGACTGTTACCTTTCTATATTCAGCATGACAAATGAAAATCACTCGTAAAAACAACAATCATGACAATAATAATAACTGATCAATACATGAAATTCACAGAAGAGATTGATTTCCGATAGCTTTCCAATCACCATTGTCTCTGCCTCCCACTTGACATCTTAGTCTCTCTACTTTATGGTTAATATTCATGTAGACCGTTTATCATTGCTATGACAGCAGCAAAAGTTATTTTGAAAAGTTGCAATGTCAGTTTTAACCTTAACTATATTCATAGGACCTTGATTCAGTAGTGACTTTGTTCAAAGCACTGTATTTTATGCTGAGAGGATATATCACCCAATATCTTAAACATATTATAATAGACTCAAAGTATGTCATTTGCTTCTACAAACTCCATTTTACATGGTGCAGGGAGAAAGAGGTGCAATGATGTAGGGGAATCAGCGACAAGTCTGGGAGCAGACACCCCTCCTGACGCTGTATTCACAGCAGGGTGCTGCCTCTCAGCTTAGAAACCTTGTGAATTTCCTGGAAAGAAAAACCTTTTCCAAGAGTCTGTGATTGACTCTGATGTTCCATTGGCCCATGAAGCTGAGATTTCTGCTTCATGATATAATTTCTGCTCTGTGATGCACACTGGGACGCTTCCTGGGGTTTTTTTTTTTTTTGTAATGTGGAGAATCTGTTGTGCATAGGTGGAGACGATTGGCGATGCGTACTGTGTGGCCGGGGGCTTACACAAAGAAAGTGACACCCATGCTGTTCAGATCGCGCTGATGGCCCTCAAGATGATGGAGCTCTCTCATGAAGTCGTGTCTCCCCACGGAGAACCCATCAAGGTGAGGCTGACCACGTGCTGTTCAGGAGATGTCACGAGAGTAATGTCAGTTAGTTAGTCTTGCTGTATCTCACTGTTCTCTGAACCCAGGGTAGGCAAGGCGCCAGCGGGAAAGCTGGAAGGAAAGTCAAGGAGCTGGAGGAATTGCAGACACGTTTGTTCTCTCCTGACTGGCACAGAAGCCAGAGCGGCAGACAAGCTGTATTTTCTCACGGTTGACGCAGCGGACACAGCATAACTGTGGCCATAATGCAGCCTCAAGGGCTTTTCAGGTGGAACGTCTACCTGTTTACAGAACAGAAGTGGCCCGTGCCCAAGTGGGTACATTGTGACACGCATGCGCAGTGCTCTAAGTTATCTCAGTTGTTACATAACCACATATTTACAACACGTGGGGCCTGAGTGAGAGGCCATGGGGTGAGAGAGCCTGACCACCACCAGCTTGGCTAATTAGCTTTTTTCCCTACAGTTAGTTATCAGTAGAATGGTGCATCCATCAGGGTTTAGTTGCATCGAGTAGATCTCCAGCTCGCTGAAGCACCAGAAAATTTACTTCATGGTATTAAGTGGCTTACAGACCACTAGGACCAAGGAAGCCACCCATGACTTGAGCTCTCAGAATCGATCGTAAATCCATGCTTCAGAACCATGGCTTCCTCTGTGATCCGGAAGCTGGTTCTAGAAACACACAGCCATAGCCAGGCAGGAAACCATTGTGCTCAGAAAGTAGCTGTCTCCACTACTGGCTGCACTGCAGAGTTGCACGCTGTAATTGCATCAGCAACGTGGAAATTCTGCATCATGACTCTCACAAATTGAATGACTGGAAGCCGGGTTCCTGCTAAGCCTGGGAGAGGGAGCACACAGCCTTCTGCTGTGCTCATAAGGGAAGTTGTAGGCAGAAATCCAGGTTCCCAGAGCTCATGCAAGGGCGTCTGATTCACCAAAACCTCAGCACATCTAGAAACTTCGAGGGAGTTTGAAAAATGTAGTTTTTGGTTTTCTGAGCCCTGCAGGGGAGGAATTTTACTAGAATGAATGTGGACTGGTAATCTAGCAATATTTTCCAGGACACATAAAATTCCAAAATTTCTAAATAAGCCAGACCCCAGAATAATAATGTCTTATTGCAGATGATAAAATAAAATAAATGTGCTCGGCATAGATTTAATAGATAACACATGAACAGATATCTTTATTTGTCCCACTTGAAGTGAATCTGCCACTTAACTTTTATAGAACAGTCCTCAATTAATGACCTTCAGAAATGGGCCTTTGAAATAATATGGAATCCTACCTGGCATGATATAAAATATAGAGAGAAGGAGGAAAAAAGTTTAGCCAGCACTTACACCGTAAAGAACCTGCCTGCATTGCAGGAGACCCAGGTTCAGTCCCTCGGTTGGGAAGATCCTCTGGAGAAGGGAATGGCTACCCACTCTAGCATCATGCCTGGAGAATGCTATGGATAGAGGAGTCTGGCAGGCTACAGTCCATGGGTCACAAAGAGTCAGACATGACTGAGCCATTAACTTTCACTTTCTTTTTCTCTCTAATGTTAATATTAATAGAAGCTGTATGTGTAAGCCTTCACAACTATTTTCTAAGAGAATGGTCATCCCAGTTATATACTGATGTGTGACACGCTTCCCTAAAATTAGTGGTGTAAAACCACAGAGCTTTCGTGATGCATTGATTTTGTGCAATGGAATTTGGATGAGGCATAGCATGAATACCTTGTCATTTCTCACAGTATCTGGTACCTCCACTGGGAATTCTCAGTGGCTGAGGGCATGCAGAGTAGCTGAAATTATATCACTTGAACCAGAGGATTATTTCAAGAAACCGCCTATCTCACCTGCCTGGTTCTATGGTTGGGCATGGCAGAGGGTGGGCATGGCAGGGGATGGACCCCACTGGGACTGTCAGCCCAGTGCTTACGTGTCTTGCTCCAGCTGGGCAGCCTCGGGACAGTCACACTTCTTACCTGGGGGTGGGTGTCCACGGAACAAAGTCGGTATCTGCTGTATGGCCTTTTACACCTTGGCCTTAGGAGATAAACGGTGACACGTCCACTGTATACTATTGATCAAAGCAACCTTAAGCCTGCCCAGAAAGGAGAAGACATAGATGCCAGGTTGCAATAGGAAGAGTGTGAAACAATTCTCCACTGTGTTTTAAAAGCATCACAGTGTCTGACTTTTCCAGATAGCTAATTTCTATAATTTTTTAGAAGATAATTATATTTTGTTTTGTTTTTTGATAAGGAGTCTCATAGCATCAAAGTGAATGCCTAAAATATCTGGATTAATAATAAACCCAGTGATCTCCACTTAAATGGGTTCTATAATTAAGACGTGTATGTTTGGGGAAGGGGGTTAGTGCCATGATTTTTGTCATTTGTAGAAATGTACTTTTACAGTTTTGCAATTGCAAGAATTACTTATAGCTAATTTCAAAGATGGTTACCCAGGTGATAATAATTTAACTTTACTGACCTATTAATTCAGGTTTAAAAATGCCTTTTTATTTGTACTGACCTAGGAAATTTCTGATGGCCTTAGGGGTTACTCATGAATTACCGCAAGTGCAGACTATTTTTAGTAGTGAGAAAAAAACACTAATGTGTGTCACGGCAGCAGTTGTGACTTAAACATCATTTTACTTAGTATATATGTAGTATATGGAATGTATAATATAGTTGAACCACATTGTAGAGGAATCCACAATTCAGTGATGGACAAGGGCGGTCAAGACTCTACTGGATTTGAAGCTGTGTGTTTCTGGCTGCAAAGCCCAGGCTTTTACGACTTCTTACCCTCCTTCCCCATGAAATGGAATCACAGTGAAAGAATAGGAAATGTTTTTGGTTTCAAACTCTGTGTCTCTCTCCAGCATGTATTGGGTACTAACTGTCTACTCGCTTATTCTACCGATTTCCTCACTAACACCCACCCACCCACTGAGGCTTGGAAGACCGCAGGTGAACTGTGTCTTACGTTGGAGACCTCGCCCAGACTGAGAAGCTCAGGGGGAGACAGAAAGGGCAGAGTGCACTCACTGCATGCTCCGGGGCCTCCCTCCCAGCCCAGCAGCCAGTGTGCGGAAGGGCTCCGTCTAAAGTGGCCCTGGATGGGAGACTCCTCAGCAGATTTCCATTCGGGGCATGATGGGCACCTCACACTTTGGACCGTTTTTGTGCTTGTAAATTTACAAAGTTCTCTGATAAGAAAGCTTTGGAGTCAAGAGTGCGATTCAGGGCTGGGGGGGGGAGGGAGGGGAGAAAGCAAAGGGACCTTGGCCCTGTCTGTGTTGTTCGGATGTTTACAAGGAGGATGTATTTCTATATTAATTATGCAATAGAAACAGTAAAACACTACAATGAACTTGTCCTATTAAAAGCTAGAATAACTAGGTACAAGGGAGAAACCGGTTTAATGAGAAGAGTGCCCAAAGAAAATAAAAACTTATGAAAGTATGCCTGGTATTTATAAGCAGAAGATAGCCTTTTGTCACCTTTTCTTGGTTTGTTTAAATTATTCTTTGTTAATTGTTTATGTATAGAACCATGTTTTCCTAAGGAAGAAAAAGCCGGACACAATAGAAATCTATGTTTTTGTGCTTAAAGTAAAACTGATGAAGAAGAGGCTTTAAAAGTAATCCAATCCTGAGTTTTCTAGCTGAGGAAAGAGTACAAGGGAAATACGGAGATTTAGAGAAAGTCAGACAGCCAGAGGCAGAGAAGAAGTCAGTGGTCACCAGTGAGAAGCAGGTAGAGGGAGAGGGCAGGAGTAGGGGTCAGAGATACAGACCTCTAGGTATGAAACAAGTAAGTCACAGGATGTAATGTACAGCGCAGGAAAAAGAGCTAACATTATATAATAACTTTGTGTGGGGCATGATCTGTAAAATATTGAACAATTATATTGTTTGTCTGAAAATAATATTGTAAGTCAAGTATACTTCGATTAAAAAAGTCAGACTGCCAGCTATTAGCAGAATTTCAGTTTCTAATACAAATCCCCTGATTCATGATGTCATGCTTTTGTTTAAAAATTTTGCAGAATTCATGGTTTAACAAATGATTCTCAGAAGTTTCTAGAAGAGGTCTGAGATTAGCCATAAAACTTGGGAAATCTGGAGTCTCCTGTATTCCAAATTACATCTAAGTGACTAAGTCTTTAGCCTCTGTGTACAATACAAGGATCTAATGGAACTTGTTTTAATGGTCAACTGAACATAGAACTTGGAAATAGTAAATGTGGTGTCTGATTGTCATCTTAAACCTCCTTACTCTCACTTGCTTTGTTGTAGCAGTGATTTAAAAATCTGTGCCTCCTCTAAGATCAGCCAGTTTTCAGTCTAAAAGATCCCAGTTTAAAACATTGTCTTAACTGCTCTCCAAATTATCAATAGCTTTCAGAATTCCTAAACATTCACCTCAGTGTATTCTGATTGCCTCTTATACCCAGATATGGCACGACTCTTGTTTTCCATGGATCCGGACATTGTTGACTGAAGTGTTTATAGTTGCTGCTATTCAGGCTCAGCAATGCCAGCTTTCTGCTTCCTCTGTCATTTTCTGCCTCAATATTACATTTTTTTTCTCCCCGAGTTGGCCATTTGAATAGTGAGGTAGTGTCTGGCATAAAGTTCTTGTGAGCAAAATACCTGAACACCCACACTTTATATCCTGAGAAGTGACCGTGTTTTGGGAAGCAGCTTCTGGGTTCCAGAAGTCCTGTCTCTCTCATCCAATGGACAGAGCAGGTTCACGTAAGCAGCCCGCAGAGACGGCGTCTGGTCACCATGGCGACTGTGGTAGGTTCATGGGGGGCTTTGACTCAGACAGGAAAGATGGGTGAAAAATACACGTTGTGTGATAAACCCAAGTGCATCCATGGAGAAGAGAAGAGGGGTGACTGATGCCGCACTAGGGGTTCTTCCTTGGAAGGGAGGAGTAGAGAAACATTGGCTGGAGGTTTGAAGGAAGGAGGAAGTGTGGGAAGAGCGAAGAGTATAATAATTTCAACAGGCCCACAAACAGCACTGACAAGCAGGAGTGTTTTTCCAGTGGCGAGAACACTGACTTACTTTTTGCTTTCAGATGCGCATTGGACTGCATTCTGGGTCAGTTTTTGCTGGAGTTGTTGGAGTTAAAATGCCTCGTTACTGCCTTTTTGGAAACAATGTCACCCTGGCTAACAAATTTGAATCGTGCAGTGTCCCCCGGAAAATCAACGTCAGCCCAACCACTTACAGGTATGACCCCACTGAACGCCTGAAATGTACTCTTTTATTTGCAGTTGTCATTTTTGTTCATTGATTTGTCTCATTCTTCGTAACTTTTTCTTGCTTAGATAATATTAGAGAAAAGTCATAATTGTGTCATCCTCATTTTAACTGTTTTTAAACTACTTTTTAGTCTACTTTTTAGTCCTGAGATACCTGCAGCCTGGCTGTCATCTTTGATGTATATCCTGTCTCCCCCATTATTACCCTTTGCTTAATAATAGAAGGGTAATATTCCTTCTCATGGGCTTGGGAGGTATTCTGACTCTGACCAGAGTTACAGAGACCGCACAAGTTGATGGGCATGGTCCCCGAAAAGAATGCCCTTAATTCATGTGCCAGGTGTGTATACATTTTATCTGCTTTGAAAAATCAAATTATAATGGAAATCCTCGAAGAACAAAAAGGTTTTCCAGATCTACATGGTAGCTAACGTACACCAGGGCAAGTGAACTAGTCTCTATGATGGTTTTCTAGCATCTTCTTTCTACTCCAAGCAAGTGAACTAGTCTCTATGATGGTTTCCTAGCATCTTCTTTCTACTCCAAACAACTTTCCTTTCCAGCCCTGATTCTAAGTTGAAAACCTTGCTTTCTTTTGCACAGGAAAGGTTGAAACCTGCTAAGGACCGCGCCAGCTTCATGCTCAGATCCAGTGCACCTTGCTCCCTGGCACCCTTGACTGTGTGTGGTTCCTGTCCTGGGGACTGACAGCCCTGCTCTGGATTTGCTGTCCTCTCAAACATTTTCTTTAGAAAATATCAGCCTTCTCTATGTTCAGTTCCTCCAAGGAAATGATTCTTCCCATCAAAATACAGCCATATCTGTTTACTTACCTCTTTAAAGGTAGCATCTTTGTTTTGTTTCCAAGACTGTCTCTGCTATCTCCTTAAGTTCCCACTCCTTTTCCAGAAAAACTCTGCACACAGGTGGTCTATGCCCAGGGCCTCCCCTTGCTCTTCAGCTCACTCTGGGCAGCGTTTGTCCCTCACAGGCCACTCCGATGGATCCCAGCAGGGTCCTGGGTGCCCCTTGCTAAACTCAGGGTCAGTTCTCTCTCCTTATCTTCCTCACCATCTCAGGATGTTCTGAATATCTTCCTCTTCAGGCTTTTTTGACAACAGATTCACCAGGTTCGCTCGTGGCTGTGCCTTCTCCTTGCCTTGGTTGCTGCTGTCTCCACAAAACCTGTTCCCCACCGGGTTATTGACATCTTTAATCAATAGAAATTGACTAGAGGCCAGATAGAAAATTTAGGCAAGGCTTTATTGGGGCCCCTGCTGCAGCAGGAGGGAGTGAGACCAAGTAACAACAAATTTCCCTTGCTTGCTCCTGGAGTGGAGGATAAGCTAGTTGCTTTTATGGGGTGAGTGTAGGGTGTGTCCAGGGGTCTGGCTGAAGGGGTGGCTTAGGTGGATTCCCCATCTCTCTGGTGGCATTGAGTGCAGGGGGCATGTGCAGTACCCTACTTTTGCTCCCAGTCCCCTGCTTTTGCTCCTCAGAAGTGGCAGTTGGGTTTTTGGTCTTTTTGTATCTTTTGGTCCAAAATTTGCTCCAGCTGCATATGCACACAGTTACTTTCACTCCCACAGTTTCTTTGTATTTTGTTGCTGGAGGAGAAGTTTGTCCAGGTGCAAGCATTGCAGCAAGGGATCCCCAGGTCCCAGGCTGTCTCAAAACCACAAAACTTTGGAAAATTGTCCTGCCCAGAGCCATGTCTGTATTCTCATGTTTCCGAAATTTTATGATTTACCACTTTTATCTCTAGCCTGACCCATGATTCTCCACTGAGCTAAACTCATATAATTCTGTCCTGTATTTCTACTCAGATGACTAACTGGCCTATTGGATGGCTAATGTGATGACGTTAGAACAACTGATTTCCAATTCCCCACCCCCATGTGGATAAAATCTACTTCCCACCCAGCGAAACTCCATCCGTCTTTTTAAAGGGCAGCAGTGTCTACCTAGTTACTCAAACCAGGGACGTCAGAGTGATCTCTCCCTTCTCCCCAGCATGCCGCATCCCTGCCTCCACACGTGTGTCCTGCACGTAGCCTTTCTCACCTCCTCCAATGCCACCACCCCAGCCCAGCATCACCCTCACTCTTGTATCTCGTGTGCCTGCTCTTTGGCTCATCCTCCACACAAGAGCCAAGTTCTCTTCCTAAACCATAAGCAGATCTGTCATCCCCGCCCTATGAGCCCTCCAGTGGCCTCCGCTGCAACCAGAATAAAATCAGACTTGTAACCACTGACTCAAGTGCTCTCTCTGGTCATAGTCACATCAGCTCTCACCACCTCATTTTCTTCCACTTTCTCCTTATTTCACGGATCTCCTGCAACACCAGCCTTGTTTTTATTCACCAGACTTGCTAAACTGATTCCTGAATGGAGGGTGCCTGCTTTCCCTTTCTCTCCTGGGTCATCTCCTGTTTTCCTCCTCGTGATCTGACCTTAAGTCAGATGCCACCTCTTCAAGGACACATTCCTCACCTGCCCTGGACATACCCTCACGTGGTCATCGCAGCTCATCCCTGTGCCTGAAATGGTTAAGTTCAGGACAAGGGTAGATTTTTTGAGAATTTATGCAGATATAAAAGGTGATTGTTTCTTTGCAGAGCTTTAATGATACAACGTTAAATCCTGGAATGGTATTTCTCAACAAAATAATGTTAGGAAGCATACCTTCCTTGATATATTTATGAAACATGTACATTTAGGACACAGACTACATCCCCACACCCAAAAATATCCACTACCTTCAAACTTCTGTTTTCAAATTCTAATCAGTAATTTAGAAAGTAGCAATGTAATAGCAGTTATACATTCCTTTCTTTTAAATGTCATGAGGAGTTTTATTCATGGGGACAATTTTCTGCATTTTTATTTGTTTTTACTGAAGTGCAGAGAACTCACAGAGACTAGGTTCGGTATCGTTTTAAGTTTTGGATCAGTGGATTGATGAGAAGGGTGTGTGATGGTCCAAGATCATTAAAGACAAAACTGGCAGATGGGGCATAATGGAGCCACCCCTGTGGGTGGGAAGGTTGACCTGGGAACTCCTGAGGTGATACAGAAGCAGGACTTGGATTCCATGAGGAAGCAAGGAGCTTAAAGGGCAGATGATAGAATTAGGAGAGTTGATGCAGCCACTTGGAGGACGTGGTGTCCAGTCGCTGGGAGTAAGAAAACCGCCCTCGTATGTGAATATCCTCCTTGGGACTGTTGCTGCTAATCTCGGATCTTTTTTCCCTCAAGCTTTCATCTAAATGGTTTTATATTTCCAACCTGTTTTTCTTATAAATTTGGATCTTTTAAAAAAGATGATTTAATGAACACATCTAATTCCATGACACTGTGTTTATCTGTAAGTTTCTTTATAAAGCATGGGATTTGCAGTCAGAAGACATGTCCTACAGTCCCCAGTACAGGGCTTACCAGCTGTGTGATCTTAAGAAAGGCTCTTAATACATTCTAATGATTTGCTTTAAAGCCACTTCTAAATGCGCCAGATATAAAAATAAAACCAGAGAAAAATAGACTTCCACTGAACCTATCCATATTCTTTTACAGCTTGCCTTGAATCCATCCAATATTATGTTTTTGAGATTTTTTTCTTGATAAAATGTAAATCCAGTTCATATAAATCTAGTTCATTTAGTTAAAGTATTCCAAATGCAGTGGTAAGCTGGTCAACCAGCTTGGGAAGTGAAGTAGATACTCCTTGAGTTCTAGCATTTGCCATTTCTAAAGTATAAACACTACACTGTGGCTGGTTTCAGACTATCCATGGTTTAATTGGCTTGCAGATTCCTGAGTATCTAACAGTTGGTTCTCCCAGGCAGGTCGGAGATAAATCTAACAAGTCACCAGATGTGCCTGTGATGTAATATGTATTCTAGGATATAAGTAAGCCAGTCTGTCTTCTGTCCATGGTTAATTTCAGGATAGCCAGTTTTTCATTATTATGCAAAGTGATTTGATAAATATACTTATACACATGTCTCTAGATGACATACTTATGAATGATATTCCCTGATCATGAGCTTCATTACTCAGTTTCAGCTTTACTCAGCATCACTCAGCTGTCCAAACCCATCTGTGTTCCATAGTGTCTGCAGGTTTCTATTTCCCGATGCCTTATATTATCAAACTTATTGCTACCAATATGGCAGGTGTTATGTGACATCCAGTTGATGATTAATAAATCTTGTTTAAACAATTTATTTATTTAATTGTTATTTAATCTTCATAACTGTCCTAAGAGATGTGTATTATTATGAAAGTGATAGTGTTAGTTGCTCAGTCGTTTTTGATTCTTTGTGACCCCATGCATGGTAGCCTGCCAGAGTCTTCATTTCATGGAATTATCCAGGCAAGAATACTGGAGTGGGTTACCATGCCCTTCTCCAAAGGATGGAAGAGAGGAAGCTAGGGATGGGGTTCCATCTCCAGGGGATCTTCTCAACCCAGGGATTGAACCCAGGTCTTCTACATTGCAGGCAAATTCTTTACCATTTGAGTCATGAGGGAAGCCCTATGTATTATTATAGTTCCCTTTTAAAGACTAGAAATCTGACATCTTTGCTGTTATTCAGACTTAGATCTATCAGACTTTGAAGTTTACACTTTCAATACTGTGGAATTCTGTAATTTTTCACCATATATTACCAACTACTATGCCTTATAAATAATAGGTACTTGAAATATTTACAAATCCATGACTAAAACATCATTTCACTTGTTTTATTCTTTTGCAGACTACATATTTATTGATGCACTTATAAAATTAGTTAATTGAACACTCTCATGTATTCTGTCTGAGGTCTGCAATCCTTGAGACCTTCATGTCTATATAACAGTTTCCTCAGCACATACAGAGCATCATAGTTCCGAATTTTAGCACAATATTATCACTGTTTTCATTTAGATGTCCCATTGTAGGCTGGGGAGTGGAAGGGAAGATATGAGTAATTTTCTGTAGAAGCTGGTTTAAATCTTGTTCTCATCCATGGCCTGAATAATAGATCAGAGAGATGCTTATTAAGTTTGCATTTGACAGAGACCTCGGGAAGCAAATGGGAAGAGGAGCCAGTAACTTAATCAGTGTGATTAGAATTTAAAATGAGTTTATCCTCATGGACCAATGAAGCAAATAATAAAAGCTGGTAGAACATCTGAATTTAAGAGGAAATTTAATTCTTAGGAATTAAAGAAGAAAAAATATTGCAAATATCAGGTAGTGAGTAGAATATCCATATATACAACTAAACCTCACTTTAGTCCTACTAACCTAGAATTCATGAACACTTTATCCAAAGAGATCCCAAAGTTATTCTCGCATTTTTTGTGTGTGGCTCAGTTGCTTTGGTTGTGTCCGAGTATTTGTGACTCCGTGGACCGTAGCCCACCAGGCTTCTCTGTCCATGGAATTTTCCTGGCAAGAATATTGGAGTGGGTTGTCATGCCCTCCTCCAAGGGATCTTCCCAGTCCAAGGACTGAACCTGCATCTCCTGCATTGCAGGCAGATTTTTTACCACTGAGTCACTGGGAAAACCCCATTTTCACATTATGTGTGTATGTGTGTGTGTGTATATATATATACATATATATATATATATGGCTTCCCTGGGAGCTAAGCTGGTAAAGAATCTGCCTGTAATGCAGGAGATCCCGGTTCGATTCCTGGGTTAGGAAGATCCCCTGGAGAAGGGAACAGCTACCTGCTCCAGTATTCTGGCTTGGAAAATTCCATGGACTGTATAGTTCATGGGATCACAAAGAGGCGGACACGGCAGAGCGACTTTCACATATATATATGTGTGTGTATATTATATAGAACTTTTCTTTTACAAGTTCTTGCCCATTATTATTTCTCAGTAATATTTACAAAATGAATGAATTGATATAGTGTCATATCTTTCAACTCTTTCAGTTCTATAATATTATTTTCTTATATTATTAGACTTTGCATCATTTGGGTTTTTCCCACTACTATGAATTTCACTGTTGTATATATCATAGATAATATCTTTACAAAAATATTTTATAGTTATTTTTCCTAATATGAATGAAATCCATTATTTGGTGGAACTTTCTGTTATTGTGAATTGATTCTCCATTGTTATTCTGTGATGATGTTTGTAAACATCATTAGGATTTTTTGTCAATCACACTGAAGATGGTGGGTTTATCAACATTCTTAGGAATGTTCCCTTAGTTATGTTGCCTTTTCTTGACTAGACAGTTATGTTGATCTTGAGTTTTATGATCAATATCTGCCTTTTAATCTTTCCAGATTACTCAAAGACTGTCCTGGTTTTGTGTTTACACCTCGATCAAGGGAAGAACTTCCACCAAACTTTCCTAGTGACATTCCTGGGATCTGTCATTTTCTGGAAGCGTATCAGCAAGGAACAACTTCAAAGCCATGGTTCCAGAAAAAAGATGTTGAGGAAGCCAATGCCAATTTTTTAGGCAAAGCATCAGGAATAGATTAACCAAACTCCCACCTGATTGTTAGCCTTTGGGGTCTGACTCCTTGGAACGTGAGTGGACCCTCTGAGAGCACACTGGTATGGTGTTGAGCTGAGGACCAGTATTAACATTTCAGGAGCCAAGTCACCATCTACTTTTCCTTCCACTTAACATGACAAAAATGTATTCACTTCAATATTCAAATTTTCAGTGAAAAACAAAGAAACCTCAAAAAATGACTTTGAGGAGATATTTCTGTTATATAAGAATCACTTATTACCTGTACTCAGAACTCAGCACCTTGTACATAAATCAGGTAATGTAGTGACCTGTACCACCTGGTGAGCTGTCTGCATATCCTGCCCTGGTTATTAAGCTGCTTGTGGTAGTGCCAGTTGCCTTAAAAGCGCTTTTTGAATAGAAATGATAGTCTTGATACCATAAGCTCTTTGAACCTTTCAACTGTACATTTTGTTCCATTTCCTCATTTAACAGTTAGCATATATAATAAGATAGATTTTTTTTTTTTCCTGTTGCACTTTTTTCTTTTTCCTTTTCTTAAACAAAATAAGCCATTATGGGTTAGATGCAATATGAATCTAAAGTAGTTCTCCTGTAAATATCAAGATGATTTTATAAAAATATTCTCTACAACATAATATGTCATAAAAATAAGTATTTCCTTTTTTGACATTTTTAAAAGTCTATACATGGTAAAGGCTATTTTAATTCATAATAGCGATTTCATTTCTATTAATTCATTTTTGTGTCATCTTCAGGGTAAAAGAGGATTATGGCCTATATTAACATGCAATAATATCATTATGATTTACTTTAACTGAAGCAACGTGGAGTAAAGGCAACATTCAGGGAGTGAGCCATAAAGTCAGAAGTGAAGTAGTTACACACACAGCAGTAATTTGGACCTATTTCAGCAGACACCCTCCATTGCCAGGCTGAGCCACAGAAAGTTGTTGCATTAGGAAAATCTAAGTTCAGAAGTCGAAAATAAGACTTGTACTTTTTGCTGATAGCTTATTTTTAAGTATTTGTGTTGAGCACTTTGGTGTGTATATATGTCCTGAGAATCAAGCTTTTGTCTTAAGTACACATCTGTGAATATTTTATTCTAGTGAAATAACTCAATGATATTTTTAAAGGGAATGTTAATGTTGATGAAGAAAATGATGCTGTGATTTCATTCTGGAACTTTCAAAACATTTTTCTGGAACATAAACATTTATTTTTAGTGATGTTAGTCTAAGATCTCTGCTGAACTAAATAACATACAGAGTTTGGTTGGAGATAAGATCTGATTTTTAAATGAATACAGCTTCAAAGCTAGAGAAAGAGGAACATAAAAGTGTTTAAGTCACTATTAGCAGAGCTATAGATACAGCAAACACTTATTTGTGGATCTGAGAAGTAACTCAGCTTAAAAATTTAAAAATTCTCTCCATTGGTCCCCAGGCTAGTCCATGGCGACCTCAGGAATACCAGTAATTTCTGATAGGTCTCTTAGCATCCCTGTGTATTATTATATATGTTACAATAATTATTATTTACTCAATAATGATCCTGTGTCTTGAAGCACTGATGTGGCTCATTAAATGTCAATCCTATTACTGGGGACTACCACAGGACTTGGGAAAATATAGTTATAATCTTACAAGCATATGAAGTTAATAAAAGTATTTAAAAGTAAAATCAAGACTTAAATATATTTTTATTTCTGGAACTGAGCCCTTATTACAAGTAAGATATTAGAAATTAAGGGAAATTAAAAACCATAAAATGTGTGTTATTTATCACCTGTTTAAGCAGACTCAAATTTGCTAATAATTTATGTTCCAAAAGTTGTAAATTAATTGGAATTCAAAAAATTATTCTCTGCGTGTGTGTATAAACACATGTACACACACAGAACCAGTGAAGGAAAATAGAAACAATCTGTTGTTCAGTCGCTAAGTCGTGTCCAACTCTTTACAGCCCCATGGACTGCAACATGCCACACTCCTCTGTCCTCCACTATCTCCTGGAATTTGCTCAAATTCATGTTCATTGAGTCAGTGATGCTCTCCAATCATCTCATCCTCTGCTGCCCTCTTCTCCTTTTGCCTTCAATCTTTCCCAGCATTAGGGTCTTTTCCAATGAGTCGACTTATTGCATCAGGTGGCCAAAGTATTGGAGCTTCAGCTTCAGCATCATACCTTTGAACATTCTTTGGCATTGCCTTTCTTTGGGATTGAAATGAGAACTGACCTTTTCCAGTCCTGTGACTACTGCTGAGTTTTCCAAATTTGCTGACATATTGAGTGCAGCACTTTCACAGCATCATCTTTTCGGATTTGAAATCGTTCAGCTGGAATTCCATCACCTCCACTATTTTTATTTGTACTATTACTTCCTAAGTCCCACTTGACCTCACACTCCAGGATGTCTGACTCCAGATGAATGACCACACCATAGTGGTTATCTGAGTCATTAAGATCTTTTTTGTTTTTTTGTATAGTTTTTCTGTGTATTCTTGCCACCTCTTCTTAATCTCTTATGCTTCTGTTAGGTCGTTACTGTTTCTGTCTTTTATTGTGCCCATCCTTGCATGAAATGTTCCCTTGATATCTCCAATTTTCTTGAAGAGATCTCTAATCTTTCCTATTCTATTGTTTTCCTCTATTTCTTTGCATTTTTCACTTAAATAGGCCTTCTTATCTCCCCTTGCTATTCTCTGAAACTCTGCTTTCAGTTGGGTATATCTTTCCCTTTCTCCTTGCTATTTGCTTCCCTTCTTTCCTCAGCTATTTTTGTAAAGAATCCTCAGACAACCACTTTGTCTTCTTGCATTTCCTCTTCTTTGGGATGATTTTGGTCACTGCCTCCACTACAGTGTTGCAAACCTCCATCCACAGTTCTTTTTTTTTTTTTTTTTTCATTTATTTTTATTAGTTGGAGGCTAATTACTTTACAATATTGTAGTGGTTTTTGTCATACATTGACTTGAATTAGCCATGGATTTACATGTATTCCCCATCCCGATCCCCCCTCCCGCCTCCCTCTCTACCCGCTCCCTCTGGGTCTTCCCAGTGCACCAGGCCTGAGCACTTGTCTCATGCATCCAACCTGGGCTGGTGATCTGTTCTTTAGGCACTCTGTCTACCAGATCTAATCTCTTGAATCTTCATCACCTACACTGTATCATCATAAAGGATTTGATTTAGGTCATACCTGAATAGCCTAGTGGTTTTCCCTACTTTCTTCAGTTTAAGACTGAATTTTTGCAATATGGAGCTCATGATCTGAGCCACAATCAGCCCCAGGTCTTTCTTGTTTTTGCTGACTGTATAGAGCTTCTCCATCTTTGACTGCAAATAATACACTCAATCTGATTTCAGTATTGACCATCTGGTGATATCCAGGTATGGAGTTGTCCTTGTATTGTTGGATGAGGGTATTTGCTATGACCAGCATATTCTGTTGACCAGATTCTGTTGGAAAAATCTGAGGGAAATGTAAGCAATCTGAGTGAAAGCTACATGGGAATTCCTTGTACTATTCCTGCAATCTTTCCATAAGTTTGATATTTTACCCAAAGAAAAAGTTACTAAAATGTGTTTTCTCAAAAATATTCAATCACCTGTTATAGATTACCTAGCCTAGTGTGCAAAGGCTCCTTAACTGTAGGATGCTACATAACCAGATGTACACACATTTCCGTGACGAATGTGCTCAAAATTTGCAACTTGGATGCTAAATACTTTGAAGAATCCCTTTCTCATCTCTGCCTTATCAATTATAGAATATGTGCTTGTCAGAGACACATTCAGGTCCGGATCACTGAAGGTGCCCAGGGACAGAGCCTGAGGGTGAGTTCACGAGGAAAGTGAGGGACCAAGACGGAGGCTTGAGACTGGCGTGGAGTTGAGAATGGAGAAAAGAGTGGACACATAGGGTCTCTGACAGGGTTGAGGGATGAATCTTACTGCCAAGTCAACTGTTCTGTAATACAATTTGAGTCCCCAGATGCCTATTCCTCCTAAGAATTCCAGGAGCTGTTCTGTTCTGTTGTTTCCATGACTTCTTGTCCCATTATTTTGTGTCCAGTACACCGAATAAATGCGCTTGGCACATGTAGTTCTCAAGTGAGCATAGAGTTCCCTTGATGTCTCCCAGAGATATCTGCAAAGTGAAATACATAGAGTTCAAAGATCTGTTCCCATTTTTCCTTCTCTTTCTCCTCCCATCTGTACTTCATAAGAAAACACAAAGTTTTTGAACCTGGCACTGAAGAAACTCATTTCATGTATTTGTTCATCTTTTACTGAATGACTACTATGTGCCAGAAACATATAATGCTGTTTTTGGAATTCCAAGTAAGGCCTCTTTTATCAAGAAAGAAAATTAGAAGGTGAACATAAGAAAAATAATCACAAAACGCCGTGGAACCCGAAGGAGGAGACTCAGTGCCTGCAGAAAGGTCTTGGTCTTCGAAGACGTAGCTCATCAAGCCAAGGGGAAGGACTGCCAGGCAAGTAAGTGCACGTGTCCACACCGACACAGAGGCTTGTGGTGTAGGGTGCACTTTGCATCCTCAGGTGCCTGGAATGAGCTGGTGGGTGGGGGAGGAGAGAAAGGACAGAAAGACCATTTGTCAGAGTGACTATGATTGTTAATCATTGTTATTATTAGTTAATATTCATCTCCATAGAACTGTTTGTTCAAAATGGCTTAAAAAGAAAAGAAAGAAGCACAACAAGCAGACCATTGGCTTCTGCCTCCCTCCCCAGCAGTTTTCAAACCACTTCAAGCGCAAAAGGAAGGAATGTGATGCTGAGATGTGAGCCTGTGCAAGCATGCCAGGAGCAGCGTGGATGAGGATGGAATTTACCTGTGCAGATGACTAAATGAATATCCATCTGTATCTCAGAAGAAAGTGATGCAGGACCACGAGTATGAATGCAAAGCTGGGATGCCTGGCCTGGAAATTTCATGTCACTTTCACTTGTCCTTCACACCCTTTGGTGG